AAAAAGGCTCGTGCTCGATTAGCTCCGACATACGTAGCAGGAATTTCGAGTCGGAACGCATGAAGCACTTGCCGGTCTCCTTGCTCTTCGCTGGCTTCCGGAAAGCTGCGCTTTTAGAGTGTGACGGATTTTTGCATTGGTATTCGTGTCTACGACGCAGCTCAATCTGACAGCAGATTGCGTGTTTACTCGAAACCTGGCTGGCACGCCGTGGTGTCCTGCTGACAGCAAGGCGGCTGCTTTTGGCTGGCCGCGAGCTGCAGGATCAGGAGGCCAGGACCATCCAGTCATAGGCTTTGACTCAGATCGGCCATGGCTCTTGCTGAACCATGTACCTGCTAGATGATTTGATGTTCTTTCTTTTCAAGACTCTCGACGGAAGTCGCAGGCATCGTCGTTGGAGTACGTGGTTGAGTGTCGTCGATCGAGGATAATAAGTCTTGCAGTGACGACCCAAGTGTTGTTTTTGCCGCGAGATTGGTTGGACGAGAATTAGCATGAGATGCACGCGATACCTTAGCCGTAGCCAGGTGAACATCATAGGACCCCAGTCTCAGGTCTTGGCTGACACTTTGCCGTCTGATGAACCGGCCACCCTGCAGCTCGTTGTGCCTTGCTTGAGTTGTCGTCAGATCATGGTGTGCTGAGATGTCTGGGATAATGCCGGATTCGCTTGCCGGCTTGGGCATCCTGCTGCAAGTGCTGGTTTGGCTCGAGAGTGGACAACCTGCAGCCTGTTTTTTCCCCAAATCCTTTCGAAATTTGGTCGGGGCAACACTGCATCACAGGTGGCACTCAGCCCCTGGGACTTGCTGCTACTCCGAAGGCCACAGAGCTGTTCCGTGGAGGCCGCCGTCGACGCATTTTTCAAGGTCTTACAAAAGATCTTTCGCGAACAAAGGGTTCAGCACTGCAGGCTTGAACAGTTTCCATTGTGCTCAACAAGCTGGTTCGTGAATACAGCTGTTCGGCTTTCTACGAGAAACGACTGCCCAACAGGGGAAAGCCCATGTAAGCTGCTCCGCATGAGGTTACGACCCCACCTACAGTGCACACCTTCCTTCCCTCCTTCCTTCGTTGATTCGTTCGTTCACGCGTCGTCACGAATATACCTGGTCAAATTCTTTCTTCAGCCATGCATCTATCTATCTATCTATCTACCTGGAGCTGGCGAATCTAAACATGCAGGAAACGCTGCACGTGCATACCCACCTGAGCTGGACAAGCTTGCATGTGAGTATGTCTGTATATGTCTTTTTGCCTGAGTTGAAGCTATGTTGGGGATGCAAGCATTCAGATATGGCATGAGCATGCACTAGGTCACTAGGTGTGAGGAGTTTATGCAGGCATCTGTATCAGCAGGCATGACTGACTTCTCCATCCATCCATCCATCCATCCATCCATCTATCGATTCCAATTTCCGAAAATGCGCCTTTGCGCATATGCACAGGTTCGATGTACATGTGTGTACATGCGTTCATGTACGTAAGCATGTAGACATGTGCTGATTGACCTAGAGCCGTTCCATATGTATACATACATACCCATATGTATATATCCATGTACACATACGTAAGTACAACAGACAGATATGCAGATAAACATGCTTGTATATGCTACGTATGCACATATATAGGCATGTACCATATAATATACATGTATAATATATATATATATATATATATATATATATATATGCATATATGCATATATGCATATATGTATATACGATATATATATATATATATATATATGTATATATGTATGTATGCATGTATGTGTACATAAATTCACTTGTCTGTCCGTCCGTCTGTCCGCCTGTCTGTCTGTCTGTCTGTCTGTCTGTCTGTCTGTCTGTCTGTCTGTCTGTCTGTCCCTCCATCTCTCTCTCTCTATGTGTGTCTCTGTTGCGCTTGCATCCGGGTACACATGCGCATGCGTGCATGTGCAGAGCACTGGCCCTCACTTCCAAGCTGTGCTGCCACAGACAGGAGCTGAGGCGGCGAAAGCTTCTCGGTGAGGCGAAATCAGTCTCCGCAGCTTTGTGCGGCCCAGGCCATGGAGGGATGGGGGGATTGTGGTTAGGCAGATGCCTGGTAATGCCTCACAAGAAGTCCCACGTCGTCGCAGGAAAGTGCCGCTGACAATTCAGTGCGCAGATCTTTGGCAACACTCGGAGCCAGCAGTTTTGTTTCAAGTTGGCACGCACGAAATTCGAACGCACAGCTGCAGCCTCCGAACTCCAAAGCTTAGATTCAGCGTGCGAGGAGATGCGAGCTGCAGTCAACATCAGCATTATACCGTAGGGAAGACAGGGCCGTATTGGAGAGATACAAAGGACAGGATTCTATAGTTGGATCATGTTGGATATTGGGATCCTTGTTAAGCCACCGTGTACTTGTGGATGTGCTTGCTGTAGCTTCATTTGTCGACGCAGGCGACCTTGAGCGTCACTCTTTCGCGGTAGCCGCTGCCGAGGCGCTTGGCCGAGGCTTCAGCGATGCGTTGTGCATGTGATTTAGCTACTCTTGCTACTTTGGTCTGATTTCTGCAATCTTGCATTGAACTACGCATGGTGAAGAGTAGCAGATGATCCTTTCAGCACCGTCAGTCCTTGCGCGATGTGCTACGTCAAATCATGTTCATACGTCTAAAAGCTTGTGGTTACTTGGAGTTAGCATGTGTTGGGTTCGTGGTTGAAGATAGACTGTTGTGCCGTGCTGTTTTGGGTTGGGTCAGTGAGATTTGGTAGTGCGAATGAAGCTTCCTACTCTATAAAGTTCGGAAGCACGTTGCGGTTCAGACGCTTGCTTGGTCCTGCAGGCATCGCTATTGGCGGGACTATGCTGTAGTTTCTTTGCCACAAGCTTGAGAGAACCGAATCATCAAGATCCCGGACGACCTGATTCTTTAGTAGTCCGTCTGACCCCCCCAGCCTACGCATGTCGGACGGGTTTGCGAAGCGTGCCTGCGGAGGAGTATCTCCTGAAGCTCGTAGTACTGTAGTGGCTTACCGACTAGCACTATGCTCCAGGGCCTGATGCCGAATCGCTCAGAGGTCAGAGCTCGGCACTAGTGAAAAGACTCTTCGAGGCGCACTGCACACGGGGCTTGAGGGATACGGCTCCGTGCAAGTGCTTCTTGCGGGTAGCCTTAATAGGAAAAGGCGGAACAAAGATTCGGTCCAAGGGATTCTAATGAACACACGTCGGATTGCCTACATCTCGAACCTCGAATTCCGAGTTGCCACGGTTTTGCTTTGTCAGCTGAGATTGCTCCAGCACGGTCACATTGAAGTCAGCGACCATGAGTAGGGCAGAAACCCATTGCACCAGAATCATGAGATGTCACAGTCAGCGGAAATACCGTCATGGAGTTTCGAGACACAGGATGAAGCTGGCTGCGCTCTCTGGATCCCTGTTTGTGTCCCAGTCCCCAGGAGCGTGAGGCGCCCTTGACCTCCTCCGAGGCCGAGGCCGCGGGGGGGCGCGGGGCCGCGGGATCCCGTTGCTTTTCATTGTGGACGGCGACTTAAGACCTAAACTGTTTGTGCCCTGCAGGACCTTCTCTACCAGCTTCGAGAAGACTTCGCCCGCTACACGGTCCGCTTGGGGAAGAAACCAGAATTTGGTTGTCTCTGAAGGCGAAGGGATATGTCCTTCGGCTTTCGTTTCTTATAGACTTAGTCGACGCAGTGTAGAGTTGCAGGCGTGGCATGGTGCTATGTCACGATCCAAGACTCGCGATGCTGTTAATTTGTCGGAGGAGCGATTACCGAACCTGCGAGCAGCGCTGCTGGATCAGGCGGGCTTCGGGCACTACTGCCTTGGGTTTCGGACTTGATGGCGAACTGCTGTTTCTGTGAAAGGGTTCACTCGATGCTTTCAGTTTCTTATCTCGTCTGGATTCATTATAGGTGTCCATAATGATGCGTGTTGTTGTCGGGCCAAGGGACACGGTCAAGCTTTCAAAGCGGGTCCATGGAAGGTTCTGCGCCTGCTGCCAGAAGGCGATGTGCCGAAGAGCGTGCGCATAAGAGACTTGGCACAGGGAGAGGACCAATCGGGACAATCAGAGTAACTTATGCCTGGGACGTTGTGGAAGTGGTTGCTGTCGCAAGGTTATCTAGCATCTGGCACCGACTGTCCGTTGCACTGATGCTTCGCTTCGTACTGACGCATGCTGAGATTCCAGGCTTTCGAGTTCGGGTGCGGGCATGGCATGCACGCTGCAACAACAACTGTCACCTTCCAGCCTCCAAAGGACTATGTGCGTCTCAAGCCAGACTTCCTGTCAGCCTCCTCATCCCCGCCGATTGATCAAATTTCGACGTATAAATTCGTAGTGACCATGTGAAGTTTGTCATAGGAGTGCATAAGGCATAACCTGCATAAGCTGGTCATTAGGTGGCGGCACATGCATAGTCAGCAGTAGCTCTGTGCCCGAAGATGCTATATACATCAGACAATGCCGGGGTTGACCGCCTTCCAGCTCTGGGCTTTGCTCAGCTCAGGCAAGCTGATGGACGTTCTGTCCTGGCTGGGGCCGCCGGCCGTGCCACACCTCGCCCGGGGCAAAGAACTGAAGAGCGGAGGATGTGGAGCTGTGATCAACGTATATCAGAATATCAGCAGTCAGCGGTGTGTCACATGGAATCAATCACATGACCTACATCTCGCGAAAATACGCGGCCTTCAAGCCCGAAGCCAAAGTTGCTTTGTGGCTCTGCTGTGGCATGCCAGGGAATCAACAGCTGTTGCGGGTTGTAGTTGTAGTCAGAGTTGTAATCCAGGCAGGAAACTCGTCTGCGTTCATCTTGGGCGACATCTCTGGGATCCTTTGAGATATGTATTCCTGGGCTGAATCCGGTGGCACGAGGGTGAGACTGTTTTGGTGTGTCTGTGACTTATACAGATGATCAAGATGCATCAACATCGCACGTGGCCCCAAAAACGTCGGGAGAGGGTCCTAGAATAGGAGCCGGATTGTCAGCAGAACAATGGTCCGGCTGGACACCAGATCCGAGACGCGGCGCTGGCTGTTGCTGCTAGGTGGGGTGCAAGTGCTTGACTTTGGGCTATGCGCTCGGGACCTCCAGATCCAACCAAGCCTTCGAGCAACCAGCAACTGGCAAGCCGCTCGCGTCACAGCTGGAGCCAGAAGCTTTGTGGTCGGCCAGGTTTTGTTTCACGTGTTCGGATCGATGTTCCCAGAGTTCGGAATGATGTAGTAATTATGAGTCATGTTACGAACAGAATGCCATGTCGCTGAGCCAACGACGCGACCGACATGAACATGTGGGCTAACAGGTAACATCCTCAGAGAGAGAGAGAGAGAGAGAGAGAGAGAGAGAGAGAGAGAGACAGACAGGCAGGGCGGCGACTCTCCTTTGCTGGCGTTAACGCCCCTAGTCCTGCCGGGTGCTAAAAGATCCGTGCGTGTGACTCGGGGTCAGACTCTTGTCTGGCGCCGTGCCAAAAGTTTTTTGGCAGTGGGCCCCAGCAGGGGGACAGAACTCGGACAAGCCAGGCAGCAACCACGACCACAGACCAGAAACACGATCCCGAGCAACACCACAGACTGGGTAGACCTCCTCAACCTACCGCGGGGGACGATTGGCCCAGGAGCAGAAGCCAACAGACAACACTCAGCAACAGGCGGGGGGGTGCAAGGGAGGCGGCAACCCAGCAGGCAAACGCAAGGGGTGGAGAGCCAACAGCGCCGCAGCAGCGCAGCAGCAGGGGCCCGCCAAACCCCAGACGAAGGTGAGCGCCACAGCACAGGGGGAGCAACGCAAATGGGAAGGGACACTGGATGTCCTATTGTTGGCACATGGCGGGGGGCAGTGGCCGTTTCCAGAAATACCCATCACCAGTGGGGTCCATCTGCACATGCGATCTCTCCCACACGGAGGCTGGGCCGCAATCACCCTCAGTATGGGCTCAAGCCTGGCACCAACCTACACCAACCAGCCCAACAAAGGCTACATGGGAGCCGGCAAGAACGCAGACACAACACGGGGGGAGCCGCCCGGCCACGTGAGGGACAACACAGCCATGGCCCTGTTCCCAACTGGGCCCGGATGCTACTGACCTGAAACCAGGCACGGGATACATCCTAGAAGGGGACTTGAGAAGAATGCGGATACTACTACGACTGGGTTTTCCAACGTCAGGCGGGGGTCGTGTATTCCAGCCTCCGCCACGCAGCACCACTTTCTCACCTGCCAATCCCATACGGCTGCTGCCTCAGCTCAGACCAACCCGGAGTTGGCACCACAACCACAGTGGGGGCACCAGGGCCGGCACCATAGCCAACACCGCATGGGAGGCCAGATACAAGCCCTTTTGGAACAAGGGTGGCGCTGGAGCAGGACCAAGAAGCCGGCCCAAGCACGGCATGTACAACGACCGGGGAAGCCAGCCATGAGGGGGCCAAGCGACCTCGCTACCGTGGTCATGTAAACTACGCGCAGGTCCAGATGAGAGTCGCTGACATAGCGCAGTCAGATGGGTCGAATGGGGTGAACCAACGCCAAGCCATGGCGAACCTCCGAGCGACTTTGAAAAAGCTGAGCAGTACTGGTTTGCCTGCTCAACTTCGCACATGCCTCAGATGTGGGGGCACTCGCTACGGGAGCCATGAACCGACCACCGCCTCGCGGAAGAAGTCTGGAAGAACAAATCCAGGCTGTAATGCGAGACCTTCGGGGAGTCATGCAGTTCGTGACAGAGGTGCAGCACAGGTCCGCCGGGCACTGGGAGCGATAACGAATGCCCTGGAAAACCCGGTGCAGGTGGACACACAGACGACGGTGACGGAGGAGGGGGAACCACAGCCATTGTTCGGCCCGCAGCAGAAGGAGGGTCAGACGCAGCCACAGTTCCGTGGCGGCCGCCGTTGAACGCAGCCCAGTGGTCGGGCAGCATCCTCACCCCGGGGGACTAGCGAAAGCCAATGTGGACCTACCGATGCCGAGCTCATCGCGGCAATGGACGCATGTGAAGCCCAACTGCTAGAGAAGCGGCTGCAGCGAAAAGGGGGACCACGCAGCCGGACACCCCCGATGAACAACAGGGGGGGTTGGCTCGAATGCCGAGCCACCGTCGACGAGGCCTACATGCGGCAGTGTACGATGACAACGGCGGCTTCTGGCACCCGGGGGATTGAGCTCCTACTCCCAGCACAGCCAGACAGAAAGTGAAGGCATTGAGAGCAGGTAGAGAGCCCGGCAGTGCCGAGTTTTTCTCCTCAAGCAGCTGTGTGACAACAGCCAAGGTTTTGGAACATGTCACTGTGTTGATGTGTTGTAGTGGGGAACATGCAGTTGGGGAGAGCAGTTGTAAGAATTTTGACCGGGACCCAGTACTGTGATGTCTAGCTGCAGTGCCCAGTGCTACTTGTGTGCAACGGGGGGACTGAGCCACTGACGGTATACAGGGCAACAAAGCCTGTCGCACCGCACCCAGCCAGAGTGCTGACTTTTCTCAGACCGGCGCAGGACGAGGCCTGGGGGGCGTATGTTGTAAATAGTGTACAGGGCTTGAGCGATACTACGGTGCAAACTGCAGAGCCTCAATCCGAGCCGCACAGTGTCACAAACAGACGTCAGACCGGTGCGCGCCCGCGTGCGGCTCCTTGTAAAAATGCTTCCCGCCAAGAGGATGCTGGACAAGTAGCAAGCAAACAAAAGAATGAGTCGCACTTTCACACCCCTCCAAGCCGCCTCACAAATGGGGGGGCCCAGGTGGCTGGGGGGGTCTAACACCTCATGGCCCATGCCCTGATGAAGAGGAGAGAGAGTCCGTCAGCGAAGGAGGACCGCTCCTAGCTCTAACCCCGAGCAAGGCAAAGTCAGCCAGCGAGCCAGTTTCGGAAGACTCCAGGTTGGAAGGCTTCTTTCCACATGCTCGAACTCCCACAGGTGCTGCAGTGACCTTCGTGGTGTTTGCCCCTCGCGGGCTGCTGGTCGGGCTGACGGCGCCCTTTCCCGACACGAGTGGGTTCGCAACAATTTTCCAGCGGAGCCTCACAACCTAATCCGACAGCAGTGTTTCAGGTGGGGGGGCTTCAAGGTTTGCGCAAAAGGTGGGAGTGCTGACTATGTGTTACAGTGCTGGTGGGGTGCCGACTTATGAACTTGTACAGCACGATCAATGAGTTTTGAGTATTCCTGCTGAGCTCTACTCAAGCACAGGCACGGAAGTGCGGAAATCTCCCGCAGCCTGCAGAGGTGTTGGCCTTGCTTGGAGCACGTGTCCCACAGCGGCTGCTGCAGAGACTGAGCCGGGTGAAGGCAGATATCGGTCGGGAAGATGGGCTGCGATGGGGTTCGGCATTCTTCTTCTTTGAGGCCCGTCGTCGGAAGAAGCATCGGAGACTCAACCGTTTACTGCTTGTGCAGGGCGTGGCTTGATCCTGAAATCAGAGACACGTCGCAGGAGTCGCTGAGCCCGCGGTCCTCTGAGCAAGAAGCCGCTTCGCCACGGACACCTTTGGAAACTGCAGATGGGGACCCGACTAGAGCTTAGAGTGGGGAAACGGGGGCATGCAAGAGCAGGACATGCTGTGTGTTAAGAGTGGTGCTCCTTATGTCGAGGCTTTGATGCTGGAACGCTTCGGTAGTTACACACTTGCCACGGGCAGTCGCATCTCTGATGTCACCGCCGTGATTGGGCTCCAGACGCGGCAAACCTGTTTTTCTATGTGTATCTCCGTCCGTGTGTGTGAGTGTGTGTGTGTGTGTTGGTTGGGGTTTGGGCCCGCCTTCATTCGTTGCTTCTAGGCCGAGGATCTGCAGTAAGTCGAAGTGCTGGGCTTGCGCTTGCCGTCAGTCGGGGCTCTAACACATGCAAACCAGCAGCCGGATCCTGGTCGTGCTGTACACTTACATGCAGTGCTCTCGTGTCTCTCGGCTCGTCTATGCACGTTCACTCCGGGGCTTTTCACGTGCTTTCGAAACGGAGCCCAACGATCAAGTGCAGGATTGGGGGCCTGCGCTGGTATTGGTCTTCGAGGCTAGGAGCCGGATTGCACGAGGTTGTTCCTCTGTGTCTCTACCCAGTTGACAGAGACATGAGATCAGAGGGACACACTGCCTTGCCCATGGCCCGGTGCCTGCCCCGACTTTGAAGCACCACTACTGTCGCGCGTACCTGGTAAATTTCTCGAACTTCGGAACTGCAGTCTCCTGCAAGTGCACTCCCTCCGTGGTTTGCCGGTGTCAAACTCTCAGGCAAAGAATTCTTTGACTGGCATCCAGCAGCTGCGCATCCGACCAGGGGATGGTGCAAGATCCTGGTCCTTGGAGGAAGAGCTTTCGCTTCCCTCGCGGGTTTTACAAAAGCCTTCTTTTCAACACAGGTGCTCGCGGTTTCGGGAGTTCAGTTTGGTCTGCCATCTTGCTTTGGCTAAATGATTTGTAAGGGATGGCTGGGGCTGGGAGCAAGCAGCGCTCGTAAGCAGGCTCTTGTTCAAAGAAATCGCCTCGCACACGAGTAGCTCTTCATCGGTAATTCCTACCCTGCACAAGCTAGAGCAGAGGGTTCTGAATGAGATCAATTTGTCAGGATCTCCCCCTCTCAGATCATCCTGCGCACTCTCCGGCCTTTTTGCCGGAGGCCTTGCATCGCACAGATCGCAAGTTGTTTTCCGTGAGTTTTGCACGTGAGCTCTGCTGCGTTGGGCTTGGATGTGAAATAAGAGCGAGCCTCCGTGTCTGCACAGGAGTAGAATCCAGGGGGGTGCTCCGGGTTGGTAGCGATGTGCCCATCTTGACGGGGTGAGTCAACTGCAGACACCACTCGGAAGAGTGTTTCGGGCTCAAGTGGTAGCTCGGTCCCAGTTTGGCTCTGAGTGATGGGAATGATGGCCCAAGGCCTCGTCATCCTTGCAGCGCTGCTTCCAGCAGTTGATAGCCATGGGCTCCTGTCGTTTCCTCCGTCCACCCGTCACGGCGGTTCGCTGAAGAGTGGGGGCAGCTGCACCGCGGGAGAGTGCATGTGGTTCTCGAACCTGGTTGAGAGCTCTGCTGCACCATCACTGCCCGACTACGCCCGCACAGTTGAGGTGAACATCTCCGGAGGTCCCGAAGACGTGTACCGGAGCTTTCCATGGCGAGCACCGGGACGGACACCGGTCCTCGGCTCCGGCTGTGGAGTCGCAGCCGGTGGGCCCTACAGCTATCCAGGTGCTGGGAATCCACCGCCTGGGTACCCTCAGGGTGCAGACGGCCTGATGCTCCCGAAGGCCTCCAGCCATGTTTGGACCCGTGGAACTGAGGTGGAAGTCGCGTGGGCCATCAGCGCTAACCACGGAGGGGGGTACTCGTACAGACTGTGTCGGAACGATGGTAACGTCACCGAGGAGTGCTTCCAGCGAACTCCACTTCGTTTTGCGGGCAACACTTCTTGGATCGCCTTTGTGAACGGATCTCGGACAGCATTCCCAAGAACAACAGTGAGCGTAGGCACCCATCCAGCAGGCAGTGAATGGGCCCGGAACCCGGTGCCGGCGTGCAGGATGTGCTCAACGTATGAGACATGCGGGCCTGCGGTAGAGGCCGGCCCGCCGCCTGGCACCGAGGCATGGCAGAAGTGGAACATTTGCTCGGCCATGTGCGATGGGTCGCATGTCTCAGAATTCTCCTCATGCCCACCGGGCACGGCCCAGTTCCCAGAGCCAGTACCGGGCTTGTCTTCATTCGAGAACAAGACCTGGGACTGGAGCATCCTGGACCGGGTTCTCGTGCCTGAAGACCTGGAGCCTGGAGAGTACTTGCTTTCCTGGCGCTGGGACTGCGAAGAGACCCGGCAGATCTGGCAAAACTGTGCCGACATTGCAATTGTAGGCAAAACTGGCATCCTCGTTTGAGGCTGGGCCGAGGCTGAACGCGTGTTGCCGCGTGTGAGCCGAGCGTGGAGGGGTGAGTGTTACATGCATTTTTATTTCGCTGCCTCCAGACGGTTTTCCAGCTCATGTTATGCAGCCTCTGCACCGTGAGCTCTTCAAGACGAATTTGTTAGACGTCCCACGCGGCAGATTTAACGTTAATTCTGGGCCTTTGCATGCAGCTTGAAAATCAAGTGGCAGGTTCAACAGCCAGTCCAATGGTAAGTTTTGTACCCGTCCAGAGACATGGATCGGCAGAAGGCAGCATGAGGCCCTTGCCACAAGCCCCAAGCAATGAACGTGTCAGAGCCGACCTTGGAGGCTGTTGCGGATGCGCTTGAGCGGATGACATGGAAGCCGGCGCAGCAGCTGCCGTGCAGTGAGATGCTGAAGAGGCACGGACATCCAATAAGAGTGCGCAACTATCCGAATAGCCCACAGATCACGATGTGGGATACCAGAATGGCCGTGAGCTCTTGGCATCCTTCGTTCTGTTTTGGATGGCATGATAGCCACGGTCCGCTATGTTAGAATCTTTTTGGTAAAAGGGCATATCTGTGATTCATAGGTTGAGGAGCGAAAGCAGAGTGAGAGAGTACGTCGTGTCCCCGCAAGAGTGAATCACAGGCGGGAGGTCAAACTTCAAGCGCCGCACAAGCCAAGCTGAACGATTTTTCAGCAAGTAGGCGCATCAAGAACTGACGAGTGCTCCAACTTTCCAGCGGCATCACCTGCCTGTTTCTTGCCCGCCCGCAAAAGTTGGCTGGCGAAGGCTTACGGATGCCGGTTTGGAATATCGCCTCGGTGCCTCTTCTGGTGGCGCACCTGGGCTTGCACAGGTATTGAACTTGTAGAGCTGTAGATGTCAATCTGAGACTTGCGTTTGTGTCGGTGATGATGATGTTTATGATGCTGATGGTGATCATCCAGGTGATGATGGTGATGATGACAATGACGATGATAACGACGGTTAGCTTCCACAAAGCAAAGAGAACCGGAAAAGGCCGACAACAATTTGCTGAGGTTGCTGAGAAATTCATGGTTGGTTAGCTTGATGGTTGATGATGATGATGATGACGATGATGATGACGACGTCGCTTGCTATTGTGATTATGACGATGCTGGTTATGGCTTTATTGATCATGAAACTGCTGTTGATACAGAGGCCATTGCTCATGCAGGAGGAAGAGAAACAGCATAGTCGCAGCCGGAAATCCCGCTAAGGATTATATCTTCTGCAGCGTCCGCCTCCCTGAGGCCTGAGGAATAAAGCTGAGCCATTACTCGACGTCCTCCTATCAGAGTTTTGGTTTTGGAGCATCCCCTCTCCATAGCCAGCATTTTTTCCTCTTGGTGCTTGCTGGCTGCCACATGTTTGTGTGGGATGGTGCAAAACTCAAGACGCCGGTATGAGCGACCTCACGATTCAAAATGCCTGCTGGTGTATTCTACATGGAGACGCTGGGTTTGCCGGGGCCTGTCAAGGCACGAGACAGTCTATTGCTTGCCTTTTCAGGTCCATGGGCTGGCCCAGGATTGACCTTCCGTCAACGGGAATGTGACACCGGCAGAACAGGAAGCTGCAGTTCACTTCAAGCCCTTGCGCAGGCCACCGTGAAGGCGAATCTCAGCCGCCCGGCGCACCGTTGGGTTTCTTGTGGGTTCCGGAGCCTCCACAGCCCACGGGGAGGCCAGGAATCGCCTTTGGTGCCGCATTGAACATAGATTTGGGAGACTCAGGCTTCTATCACTTGTACTTGGAGCTCCATCCGGATCGCGCCAGGAGAATGAAGTCTCGACTCGGGGTCTCAGCAGCGGAATGAGCTTGTGGGTCGTGTGAGGCTTGTATCCCAGGCTAGGCAGTTCATCAGTCCGTCAGTAGTCCTGCAGGTTGTGAGCGTAGTGCGAGGATGCTTTGACTTCTGTGCTTGTGCCTGCGTTTTCAAAAGAGCCCAACACAGCCGGCTGTGTCAGGACGTATGCTGCAGAGCTGGGCATGCCCCTGGCGGTGTGCACGCGGGGTGGAGTACCTCGATCTTGGTCTTCGGCAAACGAAGACTATACTTATCCGTGCTATGCACAACATTGCACTGGGTGCTGTCTGAAACGGGAAGATGTTGATTACATATGAATTCTGAATTAATTTACAAGCGCTTCGCGTCGTCCGCCTCGGCCCGGCTGTGGTGCATTGTTTCGGAAAGCAGCAATCCGAAAGCCTACCAAGGCCCATAGGCCTGAAACCTTAAGGGTTTGACCTTAACCCGAAACCCTAAGCCCGCAGCGCATAGGGAGAATGGGCAGCCCCTGATGCAAGCGTGAAGCTCGCATGCCATGGCATGGGAGGGCCAGCAAGCAGTGAGAGGAGCGTTAACACTGTTGGACCGGGGGGCCGGGGGGCCAGGGGCGTAAATGAAACTGCGAGCCCAAATCCATGGACAGAAGCGAAACTTCACTGTGGGACCTTGGGGCTCGTGCAGAGATTCACACAGAGGAGGGGGGGGAAGCCTCTGATCGCTTCGGCCGGAACCGAAACGAATCATCGTCCATCTCGAACTGTTTGTCTCTTCGACCGCTCCATATCCCTATGATTGTGACGTATAGTATAGCTGTTTGGTCGTTTGTCATTCCGTCCTTCCTCCCTTGTCTCGCCCTCTGTCCCTCCCTCGATTTGTGTGGCCTACCTGCCTCCTGGCTGGCTGGCTGGCTGGCTGGCTGGCTGGCTGGCTCTCTATCTGTCCGTGTATCATACATTTGTTTGTCAGGTTGTGTCTTGTCATTTTCTATCTCTGTCTGGTTGTGTCTCTTTCCGTGTCCGTGTGTGGGCGTTTGCCTGGCTGGCAGTCTCAGTCTACATCTCTCTCTCTCCCTCGGCTCGCTCTCCCACTCTCTCTCTCTCTCTCTCTCTCTCTCTCTCTCTCTCTTTCTCTCTCTTTCTCTGTCTCTCTCTCTCTCTCTCTTTCTTCTCTCGCTCAGGCTCCGCACCGTGCGGTTGCCACATGTACGACCGCCCGAAGTTGTTTGAATGCTGATAAGAACAGTGATGCAACTGCTGAATTGCCCAACACACCTAAATGGCCCCATGCTAAGTAAGGCGTTCCCGGAAGCACGTCAATCCACAGAATCCTTCGACTCGCGTGCGGCCGAGGCATCGGAACAGCTTTGAAAGGTTACACTTGCTTTGGGCGTGCACGGTGTGTGTGTGTGTGTGTGTGTAGTGGAAGAGCAAGTTGAACAAGCTGAGTACATTTGAAGTTGCCGTTAGCTTGTCGACGCATGGTTCTCGTTTGACAGGACACCAATCATGTTTGGGTTCGTGTGTTTGTCTTACCCTTCTCCAGATCCTCAGCACAGAGAGTACTGTATACTTGTTGTTGGTGTACGTAGTGTGAGCTGTCAAAGTTCCGGGTGTCAACTGCAGACTCCCTCGTAGCTGGATCCAAAGCATTTGTGCCTGGCACGCGCCACTTCGATCTGTATGTACTATGAAAGGCATGTTTGCTTAGCTCCGCCACGCCGCTTCAAAATCCCTCTCTCTGTTGACAGGCAGACTTCGCAGTGCACGAAGGGTTGCCAGACGACATCTGGGAGGATTCTTGAGCGCCGCAAGGGTTTGTACGGGGCTCGGTTGAGGAGGAGAAGTGATGAGGTTCAATCCTTCGTATGTTGCAAGGGCTTGGAAGCATTGGCTGGGAGAAGACGATGGCAGTAATCCCGCGGTTGTCTGCATGCTGCACTCGTCAGCCAGCACTTGTGATTTGCATCTTGGAGCAACAGATGTCTGGGGTCTAGATCAAGGCTGCATGCTAAACGGCAATCTCTATCCCCCTCAGGCACGAGCATTGACACTGGCTCCATGAAAGGCAAAGCAGTTCTTTCGTCTTCCCAGTCTCCAGGACTTGCACGTGCGCTTCTATCCCAACATTCCCAGCCGGGTGTTTCGACATGTGCCCCTGGTGCATGGCAAGGACGTCACTCGTGTCTTTGAGGGTGTGGGTGTAGTGCATTCTTGCATCCGACTGTGCCATGTGCCATCCTGTTTAACGCTTTCTGAAGATTCGGGCTTTTGCGACCGGCGTACGGGTTCAGACTTTCTGGATGCCTGACAGAGGCTACTGGCGCTTCGCAGCACCATCACTTCGGCAAGGGTGTCATGACCCTACTGAATTACATAAAGCCTTTAAGCTGCTAAGCAGTTTTGTTACACTATAATATGTTGTACCAGAAGTCCGTGCGTCAAACAAAGACCGTCGCATGTGACTTTGGGAGATTTCCGTATCCGCAAATACAGGAGTCCTGTATTCACTCACACAAGTGCGTTATAAGTCTTGAAAGAAATCTGAAGAAAGGTTCTGGTCCTAGAGCTGTCTGTCTGTGTCTGTCTGTCTGTCTGTCTGTCCGTCCGTCCGTCCGTCCGTCCGTCCGTCCGTCCGTCCGTCCGTCCGTCCGTCCGTCCGTCCGTCCGTCTCTCTCTCGCTCTCTCTCTCTCTCTCTCTCTCTCTCTCTCTCTCTCTCTCTCTCTCTCTCTCTCTCTCTCTCTCTCTCTCTCTCTCTCTCTCTATGCATATATGCACGTATGTATGTATGTATGTATGTAGGTACGTACGGACGTACGTAGGTATGTACTTACATATGTATGTATGTACGTAGGTATGTGTGTAGTGTAGGTATGTCTGTATGTATGTAGACAAACACATATAGACATGCAGTATTATTGCGTATGTAGATATATAGATACAGACATATATTGATTTTGGAGTCAGGTACGTGCCAAACTTCACGTCGTGATGCAGAAGCCCAAAATGCCTCACTTAACCCTGAAACGATCCGAACCCACAAACCCAGTAAGTTGACGAAGTGACGTGCTCGGCTGGGTGTGGGGAGCTGCGAAGTCTTGATGCTGGAGAGCCATGTTCGTGAGGGGGAAGTGGTCAATGCCTTGCTGACGCAGGACGGCATTGCCTCACAGCCGTGCTCGCCTGCCAACGAGGTGTGGGGAGACAAACGCTGCAGGTATTTCAAGTTCGGGGCAGAGACTACTCAGAGCCTCGCTAAGATACTTGCTAGAGTCCCCTTCCGTTTCCTGTCTATTCGCGATGGTTGTTAGCTTCCGGTGAGAGACGCAACCCTTCTCGCCACATAGACCTTTCAGTCGACCCTTCGTCATTTGGCTGAGCAATTACCGCAGGTCAATTTGCCTACGCTGCTACTGCCTTCGGAGCGACTACGCCTCTTGCGCCTTGGAATGGTGAAACGCTTTGTTCGGAATCATTGCGGTATTCAGAGTTGCTTTCGCGAGCACTGACGAAACGGTGCTTAATTCCTTGCCCCATTTAGTAAACACCGGAGTAAGAGCAAGGATCAAGACAAGAGTAGGAATAAGGGCGCAAGAGCAGGAGTAAGAGCAAGAGCAAAGGCAGGAGCAACAACAAGAGCAGGAGCGAGATGCGCAGCAGCAAGACCAACTAAAAAGGCGACGCTAGTACACACCTGAATGATAAGCACACTTTTGAGTTTTTGATGGGCCGGCTAGGGGGAAGGGATTATGATTTAGGCGTGGCGAAGCTCTCCCAGAAAGCTCAAGCATGCAAGACTGAGTAGTTGAACAGGAGTTTCGTGTAAGTGCACCTGTTGCAGTCAAGCGTGACATTACGGCAGCAAAAAGGTATGCAGCGGTATGCATGACAATAGACAACTGTAGAGTGTAAATCTGCCGGTAAGGTTGAGCCTGGTGGCCGACGACATGCCAGGTGCGACTGGCGAGATGGGAGCGGGGTTCAAGCTCGACCAGTGGCTCTTCATCAACAGAGCGCTACAGCAGATTCGCATTTCCAAGCCGATGGTCCGCCAGTCCCGTCAATATGGTGACAGTTTCAGGTTCGACTTGATCGTCAATAGAGATCTCCAGGGCCTTTACTTTGACTTCTTCCAAAATCTAGCATGCTCGTCTGTGCTGTGTGCTCCAAGGTGGAAGCGGCCAAAGCTGTGCAATTGCTTGCTCCGGACTTGTCGCGGCCTGTTTCAACCTTCAGCCAAACGTGGTCGAGCATGATGCTTCGGAGATCTTCGAACAGTGAGAATGGCGTGATGTCAAGTCAAGTTCACACGTCCTCGTGGCCGCTTTTGAGCTGCAGGTCGACGGCGTCCCCTAGGATTGTAGTTGCATTAGGATGATGTTTAGTTTGATGATGGTGCTGAAGATGACGATCGTGGCCGTGAACATGACCGCGGAACACTGATGACGGTACCATCGAAGGAATGCTGATGACGGTGGCAGTGACGAGAAAGTGACGACGAAGATGTTGTTATTGACGAAATCAAAGTCATGACAGTTAACGATGATACAGGTATGGTGGTGGTGGTCGTGGTGGTCGTGGTGGTGGTGGTGGTGGTGATAAAGGTAATCATGACCATGGCGTTGCATGCAGGCGTCTACCTTTCAAAACAGCCACAAAGGCAACTTCGGTGCACGACGCTACGCGGCGACCACTGCAGATCTGATGGACAATCTCCGCCAGGCAGGTGGATGGCTGGTGGTGTAGATTTTACCCTGCCTCCATTGCTATTTCTATGGTCCTTAGCTATGTCTGTACGCGATTGCACTTGGCCCAAGTCCCCCGTGGAAAAAGGTCACAAGGGTTGACTTACCGGTAACTAGCCGTGTCAAGCTGGTAGCCTGGGAAACTTCAGGTTATCAGCCGTAGTTAGCTCCGTAATGGACATCGTGCCGTTCACAACGGCCGCGGGCAACAACGGTGACGATGGTATTGGTGGTAGACAGGAGCAGGAAGCGAACCAGTACTTCTTGCATTTGTTGCAGGAGAATACTCAGGTGAACTTGTTCCTGAATGACCCCCGCATTCAAAGTGCCTTGGAGCTTCGCGCGGAACAAAGACATCGATTTGCATTGGACAACGTGTACGCCGAAGCCAACGCATACATTGCACACCTAGAGGCAACAGCGGATGCGAATCATCGTCAACAGCTAGCATTTGTGAGCCAATCCACACACCTGTTGGTGGGACAGCTACACAATGAAGTACGAGTGCTAGAGACAATCGCCCGAGCAGAACGACAATCGGCCAATGAGCTGCAGGCACAGCTGGCACGCGCACAAAGGGAAAGTCATGATGAAAGGTCTATGGCCATGCAGTTTGATGCACATCGGACCGAGCTGGAAGCAGCAGCGCGCACGCTCACTGCGGAAAACAGACAGCATGAACGCCGTTTCGCGGAATTGCGCTCGAGTATCGAAGAAAACCACAGTGAGATGATTGCCTTTTTAGGGTCTGAGTTTGAGGAAAAGCTTCAATGGGAAGAGAATGAGTACTACCATAGGCTAACCTCTGAGGCACAGCAGTACGATAGCTTGGTTGATGACCTGCAGGACAGGAACGCGGAGCTTATAGCTGAGGTCGACTCACTCAGGACTGTCTTGTCGACAGCGGAGAGTAGCCCACCGCAAGGTGGTGCCGTGCCGGTGAAAGTCGATCCCAGTGAGAGCTCCAAGCTTCAACCAAGCCCACCGCAAGGTGGTGCCGCAGCGCCGCTTGTTCAGGGTCCTAGTCATTCATGGATTCCGACCCTTCCGAACCCCAGGGAGATTCCTGTGTCGCTTCGGACGGTTTTGGGAAGGACCCAACGGTATGACATTGGTGAGCCTGAGGATTCCAAGGCCCACAATGTAGCGGTATCTGCTGCTGAACAGAGTGATAACAAAGAACCGGCAGAATCTACTGAAAACAAAGAACCTAGCGTACTTCTCGCTGAAGCACTCAAGTCGGTTATCCAGAAGCCTGACGATGACAAACCCAAGGCTAAGGAAGCTGAAACGGTGAAGCTACCCGACTTCCCTAACCCGGAGACTTACAGGAGCTGGAAGATCACAGTTAGGGAGGCCGTTCGGGCAGCATCGGACAGACCCGATGAGGCATTCAAATGGGTTCAAGAGGTTTACTCCAGGGACGCCGATCCGGAGAAGTTGAGGGACACGGGTAAATTCCTCACTTTGGATACGAAGATCCTTTCGGCGCTTTCGAGGGTCGCTAGGGGTGATCTTGGACGACAGATCATTAACTACAAGGAGTCTGAGGCAGCTGCTGGTAGGGCCGTTCGTGGTAGACAGGTTCTACTGATGTTCGAACACTACTTTAAGACCAACGAGGAAGCAGGCTCCCTCTACTCTGTAGAAGATCTACTCAAGGTGCAGTTGAATGGTGATGACCTTAGCACTTTCATTCACAATTGGGAGTCGGTCATCGCGGGGTTGAACCACCAACCCGAGGAGACTACACTGAGAGATATTCTACTTCGGCAGCTTCGCAATGCTAGCAAGCTCAAGTTTGATCTGGAAGTTTACGATAGGGCTAAGGAAGGAACAGAGCAGCGCACTTATGACTACTTGGTCAAATGCGTGAAAGAGCTGTTGGCAAGAGATAGGACTCGCAAAAACCGCACAGCAATCGCCAAAGCTCACGGTGCCAGATTTGGTGCCCCTGCTCCTTCCGATACCCCGAACACCCCTCGCGGCCGAAGCCAGGACAAGCCCTGCTACGCTTTCCAGCGTGGGAAGTGCCCACGAGGTGATAAGTGCCCATACAAGCACGTGAAGCCTACTCCTGAACAGACAAGGGGCAGAACACCTCCACGTACCCCTTCGAGAAAAGGTGGAGGTAAAGGCGGTAAAGGTGGGGAGAAGAAGGACACCTCCAAGATTCCTTGCATCTTTTTCCCCAAAGGCACCTGCAAGAACGGTAAGAATTGCCCATTCATGCACAAGGATGCCGCTCCCTCTGTCCCGGCCAAAGGCGATAAGGCTGGCAAGGACGGGAAGAGATCGCCCTCCGGCAAGCGCAGGCGACCCAGTAAGAAAAGGCCAAAGAGTGAGGACAAGCCAGCCGCTTGCTGTCTTTCCCTCACAGCCACCCTCACGGGTGAGTCACCGGCCGATGCTGGGAAAGCCTATGCAGTAGCAGCCCGCAAGGGCCCTGCCGGAAAGCCCCGAAGCAGAAAGGTCCAGTTCCTAAGGCCAGAAATCATTGACATCCCGCCTGAAGGTGAAGGCTGGAGCTTCGTACCAGACAAGCACAAGTTCGAATTCAGGTACAAGTCTGCGGAGCTATGCCCACCATCAATTCCAGAGGACACCGAAGAAGCTTTGCAGAATGCCCGTCACTTGGAATCAGCAGTGAACGGGATGAAGCTTAAGGTTCGGGTCAAGTGTAACTACAGGTGTCGGGGTAGAGAAGGATTCTGCATTCACTGCAAAGAAGCAATTCCCCTGCCCCAACTTGCTGCAGCGGCGGTGACAGGTGAAAACCTCGAAATCATCGCAGACACCGGTAGCGAGGAAGATCTGATTAGTCACTCTGATTTGGAGGCCCATTTCAAGGGCAAGGCTAAGAAGGTTGCTTCCAACCCAGTGAGTTTGATCACTGCTAACGGACCAGTAGACGCTGATACCAAGCATGAAGTCTACATTGAGTCATTGAGGAACCCATTGCAGTTCGTTGAGCTCCCCAACACACCTGCAGTTTGCTCTGTAGGAAAGAAGTGCATGGAACAGGGGTTCTCTTTCCACTGGCCAGCGGGTGAGGCGCCATATTTCATTTGCCCAGACGGTCAGAAGATGATTTGCCAACTCCGAGGCAATGTCCCCGTATTTGGCGACCGAGGACCATTGATGGCATGCTTAGCGGCAAAGTCCTCAGAATCTGATGGCAGCAAGGTTGCACCGACCTCTGTCAAGTCTGGTTCGGGTTTTCGGTAAACAGCTGCCCGCAAGGGCACGCCGCACCAGCTAAGGGAGAGCACGAACATGAACTTGAAGGTCCAGCTGGCGCGGCAGAAGATCCCATCGAAAAGATGGCGAAGTGCATTCCTCCCATTCCTGGGGTGGAAACGAGGCAACTGCTAAAGGCAGGTTGGACTGTCATCAACGGCAGCCCCGCTGCTAAGGTGGCACATTTCCCAAAGACGCTTCGAACACCGGCTCCTAAGTTCCCAAGATATAGAATCCGGACTACTTGGGGATTCAAGGATGACGTGTGGTCTTTGTTGGAGGATTCAGTCAATATTGACGAATTGGACGGAATCTATGGGGAAGTACCTGAAGGGACTATTGCGACTATCACATTGTTTGCTTTGCCTGAAGGGGAAGTTGAGGCGCAAGCCGACAGCGATGTCGAGCCATACACAATGCCAAAGTCTAAGAAGGACGAAGCTTCCTTGAGGGCTGAGGCTGTGTCTTTGGAACATCGACTGACCCATAGACCAAAGAACCCGTTCTGCCCGATTTGCCAAAGGGCCAAAATGTATGCACCCCGGGCGCGTAAATCTGGTGGATCCTCTACAATCTACAGTAAATCGTTCGGTGACCACATCACAGTAGATCACATCGTGACCGCTGATGCCAAGGATTACGGGTTTCAAGACGAAACCGTGGCTCATGTTATGAAGGACGTGTATTCTAAGTTCAGATACGTGTACCCTTCCAAGACAAAGTCTGGTGAGCAGTGCTACGAAGACATGTTGCACTTCCTTGGTACGGATGATGAGGTAAAGGTTATATATTCCGACAATGCGTTGGAGTTTGACTTTGCGGCCAGACAGCTTCGCGCTCGTCACAACACTTCTAGGGAGTATGTGAACGAAAACAAGGCCGTAATCGAACGAGAAATCAGAACCATTTTGGAAGGCACACGGGCCAATTTAGTGCAATCAGGACTACCAGATCGCTATTGGCCCCTTGCATCGCAACATCATGCTATGTGTCTTAACATCACTGCGAGGATTGACAATGGTCAGATTCCGTGGGAAATAAGGTACGGTGAAAAGTTCAACGGCATGCGTATTCCCTTTGGAGCGAAAGTCCTCTATTGGGCCCCGAAGAAGCAACGCAAGCCTGAACGATCCAAGTTTTCTGGCACAGGGATTGAAGGTATATTCCTCGGGTATCACATCCAACCTGGTTTTATCTTCAAGCTTGAGTACGTCGTTGCTCCCCTACACAACATCGAAGCCGCGTTGGAAAACGAAGATCTACGTGTGTTTCGCACTAAGAGACTGGAGCTACCAGATGGTGACTTTAAGTTTCCGTTGTTGCAAGAGCCTGCCTTGGATAAACCACCAAGCCTTGATGCACAACATCACAATGTCCTTGATGAGCAAAACCCGCATCCTCCTCTGGAGGAAGGGGGGGGATACGATGAAGCCACAATTCAGGAACAACTTAGCGAAGACCTGGATGAAATATTCCCAGAGCTATTTGGTCCTGATCGTGATAAAGATCCTCCGCCGAAGGACGCGAAAGAAGCCACCCGCAAGGGTGAGTCAAAGTCTGATTCCCGTGCAGCATTGCTTGATGATGTTCCGTTCTCTGTGAAGCAGAAGCTGAAGTCCAGCGCAGCAGTAGCAGCGCAAGAACCACCGTATGGTTATACGTGGAGTGGGGAATGTTTGGTCAAGAAGAACAACAAGAACCGCCCTGACGCTATTGATCATTGTCGAAAAGACAAAG